GAGGTTTTCACACCCTTATAAGGAATGTTTCGTTCTCCTTCCCAACCGACATGAGATTTCACTATCCATCCCCCTTCGAGGCCTAGCGTCTTCGCTAGCACTCGTTCCCTTCTCCAATCGATGTGGGACCCCCCAATCCACCCCTCTTCCGGGCGCAGCGTCCTTGTTGGCACACCGTCTCATGTCCACCCCCTTCGGGGCCAGTATCCTTGTTGACACACCACCTCATGTCTACCCCCTTCGGGGCCAGTGTCCTTGTTGGCACACCGCCTCATGTCCACCCCCTTTAGGGCCAATGTCCTTGTTGGCACACCGCCTCGTGTCCACTCCCTTTAGGGCACAGTGTCCTTGCTGGCACACTGCTTCGTGTCCACCCCCTTTAGAGCTAGTGCCCTTGTTGGCACACTGCCTCGTGTCCACCCCTTTGGGACTCAACCTTCTCGCTGACACATTGCTCGGTGTCTGACTCAAATACCATTTGTAACGACCCTAGATTTCTACTAACCTAAAGTCGCTACCGTCATCATATAGCATACTCTCTTACGCAGAAATAAACATTTAAAGCTTCATCATAAGACTCTGTCTCGGACTTGCATGTTTGAAAACAGCTTTAAAGCAACATAACGAAAATACTAACACATTTAAAAAATTTTTAAAAAAAAAACACCTTATACTAACCTAAAGTCTAAGAAAACTATGCATGTTTTATTGTCTTTTACTTGCAATGTCATCGTCAATCGTACAGAGATGTCTATTGAAGAAAACTTTCCCTTCTCATCTCGTCTCGCCTCGATCTTATGTTAAATGACATTTGCATTCAGGTTGATTGAAGATTGCTGGCATGAAAAGCCATCAAAGAGACCAAATTTTAGGCTGATAATCTCAAGGCTTGAAACCATTCATCACAGTCTTAGCCACAGAAGGCGTTGGAAGCTTCCAACGCTGAGATGCTTTCAGAACGCAGAGGAGAAGATGAGAAGAGGCCATCTCTCAAGCAGCCGGAGCCTCTCATCGAGATCTGCAAGCAGCATATGAACCACCTCCAATGTTCATCCCCGTCTTGGATTTGTAGGTAAATTTCCCTTTGTTTTGTTCAGTTTAGTGCCAGATTTGTTTGCAACCCAAAATAACCTGTTGCTTGTTGTGCAATAATCCCTTTTAGTCATTCAATTCTCTCAACCTCTTAAGTTTCTGGGTCGAGAATTCATATTGTACATACGTATTTTTCAATACAATTTGTGTTTATTACGGTTAAGAATGAGAAACAGAGGTGGAATCGAACGTACGATCTTTATTAATGTTAACAACCTTTAAATAGGATAAAATATATTACTAACAGACTCTTGAAAATAAGATAAAATATTGCTTAAGCAGTCAACATAATCCATAATTTTTCGTAGCTTAACCACACATAATTCATACATCCATATTACATAAAATATGGTGCAATGCCAGGGCTATAGGGCACACATCATCATACAACACATAGTAAGCTAACTTCAACAGTAAGGTTACTTATTGAGTATTTCATAAAATACTCAAGCCACGTTTTACTTACATTTTTCAGGTAAAGCCAAGACGTCAATGTACGGTTGATGGTGGAGCTGAGGACAACAAGGAAGTGGACGAGAGACATTTTTAGTAGTTTATGTTTGTATGCATGAATAACGTCACTAATTAAGTTAAGAAAATTATGTGCGTTACGGTTGGAGAAAATATACTACTAACGACTCTCTGATTCCAATTATTTAAAATGTACTCCACGACTAATTATAAATTACAACTATTTAAAATATATTCTAAATATTTTAAATCAAATTTCATAATATTCTTCCTCAAGTTGGAGAGTGTACATCAAACACACCCAACTTATCTTTTTAAAAAAATTAAATTACAGTAGCTTTAGTGAAAATGATGTAATTTTGATTTATGTTGTATAAGAAAAACTCGTGTATATAGAATAAAATCACCAACAATAGAGAGAAAAAAAACGCAAATCAAAATAGGTTGAAATTTTATTTTAGAGGTCCCTAAACATCACAATGTAACCGATCAAAAGCACAATATGTTATTTATTTTTGCTAACAAGCAAATACTACCGTTGTGAGAAAAAGTTGCATTATTAAGATGCAATTGATCAGCTATAAATTTAAAACGAGAAAATGAAGGATGACCTAGGCGTAAATACCACAAATCAGATGATTGAGATACTTGATGAGCTGAAGATTTGATTGGAGATGAAGAAATATAATAGACCTCCGAATTGTTTACCTGAGCCAATCATCTTTTTCTGTAGCCAAGTCCTGCATAACATAAGAATCGGGATAGAATGTGACACAACATTTTAAGTCATTGATAAGTTTGCCGATCGACATCATGTTTTATTTGAATGAAGACAAACATAAAACATTGTTTAATTTAAGGATTAAAGGAAACATTGTCAGTATGTGACATGTGTTGTCCCTTCATTGGGATATTTGGTTCAGTCATAACAGAACCTTTGGATGTTATATGATACTGGAAACAAACATGCAGCATTGATGTAACGGTTAGAATTACCAAAAGAACGATGATTGAATGCATATAAGGCTTGTGCTATTTGTTGTAATTGCTGAGCAGAAAAATTTGGAATGGAATTAGGTGATTGTTCTCCTGTATTCAGCTGAGAAGCATCGGCCATATTTGCAGATAATCGATATCCACGATTGCTGTATTGATTGACTTGTAATGTCTTTCCAAAATTATTTTTCTGTCGACATCAATCCTCTGTATGTCCCCTTTTATCACAAAATTTACAGTAAAACTTAAGGATTCGACACTCATCAATTATATGACCAGTTCTATCGTAGTGTTCACATGATTTGTCCTTGGTGAACTTTGAATATGTTGTCTTATCAGGTTCAAAAGTTACCTGACGTTGCATATCTTCTTGTACAAGTAATGAATAGGCTTGTCTCACATTAGGTAATGGAGTCATCATCATTATGTTAGATCTCACTGTTTTATAAGACTCATTGAGCCCCATGAGTAGTTGCATCAACTTGTCTTCCTCCCATTGATCAACATGTATTTGGCGTTGATTACAGGTAAATGGTCTGCGGTACGCTTCCAATTCATCCCAGAGTGTTTTGAGCTTGGTGAAATATGCTAACAGTGTCATGGTTCCCTGTGACATCATGGCTATCGACTTTTGTATCTGAAAAATTGCAAGAGCATTCATCCCGAAGTGTTCTGATATCATGTTAAGAATGAGAAACAGGAGTGAGATCGAAAGTACGATCTTGTTCACAACGTTTAAATAGGATAAAAGCTGCCAACTAACTCCGAAAATATATTACTAACCAATCAACTAAAATAAAATAAAATATACTGCTAACCAACTCCCGAAAATAAGATAAAATATACTATCAACTAAAAAATAAGAGAAAAAAATCTTAACTAACGGTATAAAATATATTTCACAATTAATTACAGCTATACAATAAAATATATTCTGCAAATATTTTTATATCTTAAATTAAATTTCATAATAATAACTGAACCAAAGAAAACTTAGAAACTTGATCTGAAAGGTTTCGGTTTCTGTGGCTATTTGCTCCACTAATTCCCCGAGGCAAACTTACGATGTAGCTAACGGGAAGATTGTGGATATATATATATAAAGAGCATTATCTCCATTAGTATGAGATTTTGGAAAGCATGTCGACATTTTAGCTCTTAAAATTTAAACTTAGTTGACGTTCAGTCCTTTACGAATTTTAGAAAACCATTTAGAATGTGATGTCCCACATTTGTTGGGGAGAACAAGACACCATCTATAAGGGTGTGGAAACCTTCCCCTAACAGACTCGTTTCAAAGCCTTGAGGGGAAGTCCGAAAGGAAAAGCTCAAAAAGAACAATATCCTCTAGCGGTGGATCTGGGCCGTTACAAATGGTATCAGAGTCAGACACCGGACGATGTGTCAACTTTCTCGCTGTTCCCCAAAGGGGTAGACACGAGGCAATGTGCTAGTAAGGACGCTGGCCCCGAAGGGGGGTGGATTGTAATGTTTCCCACATTGGTTGGGAGGAGAACAAAACACTATTTATAATTAAAATAAATTTATAAGAATTTGCTACTTTTAAAAATTTATAATTATTTTTTAAATGTGATTTATAATTATTTTTTAAATGTGATACTAATGATTCTATCGGTATGTAACGACCGTCTTGTGTATTTTTTAAAATTTTAAAAATATCAAAGGTATTAATGAAATTTTGAAACACATTTTGATACTTAAATTAATGATAAAAATATTTTTTTAAGTTAAAAAAACTTTCTATCCATAAATCAGTGTTACTCTTAAAAGTTTATGAGTATTTTGAAACGTGGTACTAACTATAAAGGTATTATTTATTTTTTTAAATAAATAAATATATATATATATATATATATTATAAGGTTGAGAATATATTGTCTATTTTATATTAATTTTAGGATTTGATTAGTAGTATATTTTCTTTTATTGTTTTTCATTCTTAACATGGTATCGAACAAAAGATGAAGATAAATGACAGAAATCTGAACGACACTATCAATTAGGATCACCTTCCACGAGATATATCATTCTTTTTAAGCCCACATCTCAAAAGTTCATTTTTACGATTTCTATATCGATTGTCACTGAGCAAAACAAATCATTAATCAATCGTTCGTGTTCTTAAATATCAAAATTTCATTTTTTATGATTTAACACATTCACCATTCTGATCATGATATTCAGCCAAATCCAGCTTCGAAAAGGTTGATTTAACACATTCACCATCCTGATCAGGATCATTTATGCATGAACCAAGGAGCAACTCTTCGAGTTCTCAAATACATCAAAGGCCGACTATTTCTAGACATCAAAGGCTGTCTATATCCATCTTCTTGAAAAGTTCAATAATTTCTTGTAAGTCTAAAAACCAAACCAATGTGTTCCTATCATCAGTGTTTTGCATCTTACTCTAAATTCAATAAACAAACTAATGTGTTCAGATCATGAGAAGAACGGAGTTGGACTAGTTTATGGTAATATACAAAGTGTGTAAAAGAAAAAACAACAACAACATAGGACATGAAAACAATCCCAAAGTTCTAGAATTCTTGATCCTCACAGTTCATTCCTGCGCCCAAAGGAGGAATGAAAATTCAAAGCCAAATCCTTCAAAATCTGAATCATTCCTCTCAAATCGCCACTTCCCAGCTCCAAACAATCCTTCAGCAATCCACCATCCATCACCTCCATTCGAATTGTCTCCACCACATCCCTCCAAGCCCCCTGCCCATCCCCAAAACAAACACAGATTGCACCATTTTTCATTCAGGCATTTTAACAAACACCTTACGAGCAAACAAAAAACGACCCATTCAATCCACTTACCGATTTCCAAAACACCTTGAGAAGCCTCTGCAAGATCGAATTGCATAATCTGAAGAGAGATTGGTAATTCCGCGACACCCACCTTGCCCTCGCCGTGTCCGATTCCAACCCGGTTAACTCAGCCAACGCCCTAAGCAATTCGTTCATGTCGGGAATGGCGTCGTAGAGTTCCGAAAAGGCGAGATCTCTCCATGCGTAGTTCTTGGCGTAGTCCCAAGCTAGCGACCACATTGACGCTAAGAAACCGAATCCTCCGAAGCCTCGTTCGAGCTTGTTAGCGATGACCCTGGCCCGTTGCGAGCCGGAGAAGTCGCCGCGGGAGGCACGGAGATCGGCGACGCGAGACATAAGGGAATGCGCGCGCGAAAATAGGGATTTGAATTGGGAGAAAGAGAGGGAGAGGACGGGAAGTGAGGCGGTGAGAAGGAGGAGGAAGAACAGAGTCACCAGACGAGACGCCATTTTCACCGCCGGCTGACTGATCGGTCGACAATGCGACGGTGACGAGAAAACCTTTAGTAAAAGGCTGGGTTTTATCCGGCGGGCCGTTGGTTAATGAATAATGGGCTTTTGTGCGCCGGAGGAATAACTTTTTCTTTTTTCTTTTTTTTTTCTTTTTTTTTAATATTTCTACTTTTTCTTTTATATTTTATCACATTTATTTTTTAAAAAAGTATTCTTTATTCACTTTTTTAATTTTCAAACTTCTAAATTATTCCAAGATTTTATTCACTTTCTTTTTCTTTTTTTTTTTTCATTTTAAACTCGTACAATTCTACCGAATATATTCCGAAATTCGATTTTTTTTATATATATAATTAGATTTATAATTAGATTTTTTTTTTTTGTGATTTTCCATATTCCAAAAAAATTTAATGTAACACTTTTTTATATATATATATATAATTTATATGTTTATTCCTTTTATTTTTCCTATTTTTTTAATTTTTTCTTTTATAAAATGTTAGATTGAAATTTTGAAAAATTAAAAATTTTGATCGGGTTGATATTTTCTTAGTCAGGTCAATCGGACCAACTCGAAAATAGGGTTACAACTCAATCATACTCTAAAAAAAAATTAAGAATATTTATTTATTTTTATTTATTTTTGTTTTTAATTGAAGTTAGTGATTGATTGTTATAAATATTTTATATTTGACTTCGGCAGTAATTTAATTTTTTTTTGACAAATTTTAAATTTTAAAAGTATTTTTTAAAACAATTTTCAAAATAAAAATAATAGGCGAAAGTATATAATTATTATTTTAATGAAAAACACTATTAAATTAAATACGAAAATAGATAAATAAATTATATACTAAAATGAGGGTTGTATAATACGAGGGAGGATCATATGATTTTACCCAATAAAATAAATAACATTGTCGTTCTCGTCTTTACCATATTTTAATTCTTATCTTTAACAGATTATTCCTTTAAATTTGAGATCGGAATTTTTTTAGGTAGAATGATTCTTCTTTTAACTTTTTTTTTTTTATATATTCTTTTAATAATTAAGTTCTATGTTAGTTAATTTTTAATTAAATTATTATTCCCAAAAAAATCTCTATTTAAAAATACATATGTATAATTCAAACCTATTAAATTATATAAATAAATAATTAATTATATATATATAAAGTTTTATTAAAAATAAAATAAAAAATTGGACAAAACGAAGAATATTAAATAATAAATAGATATTGTTTTGTTCGGTAGAGATTCAAATTTTCATTTCTTAAAAATTAATTTATATAATCTATTTTTATATTTAATATTCGTTGATTTTATTGAGTTTAATTATAAAAGCATAAAATCCAACCATCATTTAAATAATAATTAGTGTTTTTTCAGTTTCTTGACCCAATTTTGTAATAGATATTTTAGTTAATTTAATTTTATATTTTAGGGATTTTTTCCCAAAAAAAAAAAAATAAATAAATAAATAAATTGTGGCTATCATATCCCATCTCCTTATCCTATTCATCACATGAATCTAAAAAAAGAAACCAAACAAAAATGGAATATTAAATTCATTATCCACACATATATTTGAATAATAATAATAATAATAATTTGTTTTATTCATTAATCACAAATATTCAAGTAAAAAATATATAACCAAGATTTTTTTTAATATGAAAAAAATATATTTTTCAAGAAAATTTTAAATTATATGATTTATTGATTTGATAATGAAATACATAATTTTTAATTTTGGTATTTATTTGTATTTAAATCTTTTAAAGATTATGTTCTTAATTTTAAATCATTTTCATATTTTGATATATTATATCTATAAAATAAATATTATTAATGAGATATTTGAAGTAAAAATTAGTCATATAAATTTATTTTCTGAGTTTTTTTCTTCCTAAAAGTATATAAAATAATGCATTTTAAAGCAAACTATTATTGAACAATTAATTTTTACCAAAATATAATTAGCTATTAACCCAACTAAGATAATTTATAATTTATTAGTAAAGTATAATTTAATAATTAACCTTTAATTTTTTTTTTTCTTTTTTCAATAACATAATTTATAAATGTGATCACACATATATCTTTAATTTATGCAAAATAAAAAAAATTTGTTAACCAAAATAAATAACCCTAAATAATAAATATAAAGATTCAGACTTTTGTTACCTTAATTCGATAACCTAATTATATTTTTTATTTTTTATTTTGTAAATTAAAAAAATGTAACCCGTTGTTAAATTTTCGTTAGTCAACTAATGATTAACGGGTACGAGGACTATTTAAAACAAATGTAATCAAGGCAAAAATAGCTCGCTTTTAAATTTCGAGGAGCTTCCTGAACAAATAAATATTTTATTCTTTAAATATAAAACTTTAAAATTAAAAAAAAAACCCTATACTTTATAGTTTATCGGAAAGAAAATACTCTTGTTAAAAAAAAAGTTCAAAAATACCTTCGTCCTTTAATACTACATTAAAAAAAAATAACCATTAAATTTTAAAAGTAGTATTAACATCTGTTATCCCTATAAAAAAAAAATTATCACCTACGATGAAATCCGTCTATTGACACCTCATAAATTATATTAAAATTTATTAATGATACTCTTGAAAATTTATAATTTTAAATTTATTTAAAATGTTTTTTAAAATTTTTAAAAGAATTTAAGGGTATTAAATAGTTTTAAAATTAAAACAAAATAGAGATATTTTTATTATTTATTTTTAAATATATATTTTTAATTAAAACATAGTAATATAAAAAAATAATAATAATGTTATATGGTGGCGCATAAGCATTGGGTAAGCGAGGGAGTGGGAAATAATGGTGAATGGTATAAATAGGTGTGGCGTGCATGGGCGGAAGGTTTATAACAACACCCTCTTGGCGACTGTCGAGTCCCTCCAATTCTTCATATCCCCTTTCGCCTTTTTCTTCCATTCAATTTCGCATTACAATGGCGAAACGCTCCATTTCTAATTCCCTCATAATCCCTTCTTTCATCATTTGATCATCCCTTCCTTCCCTCATCTTCAATCTCAATCTCCATTTCCCCGATTCTCTCCTCGCTCTTTTGCTTCACTACACGATCTGCATTTCTAAACTCGGTTACAACTCCTCTCCCCTTTCTTGCATTTCTTTGTTTTTGTTTTCTGTTGATCACTCTGCTTCTGCCGCGCCTACTCTGTTTTATTTTTGTTTTTTTGTTTGTTTCTTGGGGTTTGGAGGGGTGGGTTTTTTTTTTTTTGATTTTCGAGACTGCATTCTTGAATTTTGTTCTCTGCATGTTCTAATTACTGATTGGAATCGAATTTTTTATGACTATCTTGATTCATGAGGTTGTTTCTGAAGATTCTTGCTGCATTTCTGTTGTTCTGTTTGGCTTATCATATGGGATTGTGTTCTATATGAATCGAATCTCCAATGACTTGGAGTTTTGGAATTTGAAGTAGAACAGTATATGTAGCTCGGCTATTACTATGGGTTTCTGTCAATTTTCTACTGTCATGTTGTATGCATATGCATTTGATGTTCTTGCATGGGGTGTAAGGATTCTTGATTTTTGGAAAAGAAAGTTGAGAATCATGAGAAAATTGCCATGATAGTTGTTTCTTTCAGTGCTGTTAGATCATTAGTGTTGAAATTAAAAAATCGAAGTTACCTGTTCTTTCATTTTGTTTACAGAACTTGTGTATTGATTGATCAATGCTGTCAAACAACCATAACAACAGTCCTCCTACTCCTAGAACCAGATTGGAAAGGCTTCTAAGGGAGAGAGAGCTCAGGAGATCAAACCGGTCTTCTCTCAATGAAGAAGCTCACAGTCTGGGAGAATTCAACAGTTATGATCTGTTCTCTTTTTCTGGTGATAGTTGTGGGTCATTTAACGAGGAAGATATCTTAGAAGGGGTGTCAGTGGTAAAAGACATCATTGATGGGTTTCAAAGGCTAGAAGGGAGGACTTCTAAACAGCGCCTTCTAGTTGTAGCAAACAGATTGCCTGTGTCTGCTGTCAGGAAAGGGAAGGAGACATGGCATCTTGAAATTAGCGTTGGTGGTTTAGTCAGTGCACTTTTAGGTATGTTATGTCCTGTATTAGCAACTGTTCTGGCTTGAGTTTCATATTAATGTTAAAAAGTAGTGATTCCAGAGATATATTTTTCTTTGTTCATTTGTCTAATTTTACTTCATTATGTTAAGAACTTGATATCTTAACTGAAGGTAAAGTCTTTTTTTTTCCTTTTCAAGGACTAAAGGAGTTTGAGGCAAGATGGATTGGTTGGGCTGGTGTGAACGTACCTGACGAAGTTGGACAGAGAGCCTTAGAGAAAGCATTAGCTGAAAAGGTATATTCTACGGTGACTCTCGCATCTCTCAAACTTGATCATTAATGCTACATTGATAAGTAATGGCTATGCTTATTAAGTTTTGGATTGTAGAAATGCATACCGGTCTTTCTTGATGAAGAGATCGTTCATCAGTATTACAATGGCTACTGTAACAACATATTGTGGCCTCTATTTCATTATCTTGGTCTTCCACAAGAAGACCGACTTGCAACAACACGAAGTTTTCAGTCACAGTTTGATGCATATAAGAAGGCAAACAAAATGTTTGCTGATGTTGTAAACAAACATTATGAAGAGGGAGATGTTGTTTGGTGTCATGATTATCACTTGATGTTTCTCCCAAAATGTCTCAAAGAGCATAATCGTAAGATGAAAGTTGGTTGGTTCCTTCACACCCCATTTCCATCGTCAGAAATACATAGAACTCTACCATCTCGGTCAGAGCTTTTGAGAGCTGTTCTTGCTGCTGATTTAGTTGGGTAAGCCGTTCATTTGTGTTCATGCTATCGTTTTAATGTTTGCTTATCATATTTCCTGAAGTAAGATTGGGACCTCTTTTCTTATTTTTACAAATAAGAACTCAAGGAAATTTTCATTTTCTCTAAATGTTGCGAAAGTGGAAAAAAGAGATGGAGCTTGTTTATCTGATTTTTGTTTTGATCTTCTGAGCATGGATTCTTATTGTAACACATAGACTATAGTGAAAGCTGGACGGAACAAATTCGTTGTCTGTTCATATGTTTTTCTGTAATTTTTTTCCCTTCAACATGTATTATTCTATATGATTGATATATGAGCTCTCCTTATTGTGTGGATTTCCAGCTTCTAGTTCTCACATTTATGAGCTCTCATTATTCTAAATGATTGATTTTGCTTTCCTATACTTGTAATAGTTTAGGTTACACTATTAATTTGTAATAATTTAGCACGAATTACCCATACTATGTGGATTTCCAACTTATTATCATTCTCTTCCATCTAAAGGTCAGCTTAGTCACAACTTGCTTTTCTATTGTGAGTTTCGTTTATTTCAAAATCTGGGCCTAAATGACATGTCATTTCTCCTCCAGTTTCCACACATATGATTATGCCAGGCATTTTGTTAGTGCCTGCACCCGTATTCTTGGGTTGGAGGGTACACCTGAAGGAGTAGAGGATCAAGGAAAGCTGACTCGCATAGCTGCTGTAAGACCAATTGATTATCTTGTTTTTCCTTCAATCCATGCGTTGTACAGGAAATTGTATTCTTGTATCGGAAGTTTCTATTGTCTCAATATTTTTCTTCTTTGAGAATTCACTACAGTCATTTGCAATATAATATCTTGTCTTTTCATCTTTTGGGTCTTCAAACTACAGTTTCCTATTGGAATAGATTCTGATCGATTCATTCGAGCTCTTAAACTTCCTCAAGTCCAGGAACACATTAAAGAACTTCAAGAAAGATTTGCTGGACGAAAGGTAGTTGTTTCCTTTCCTTCCACTCTCAAATATTCCCTTTTGCCTTTCATTTTCATTGTTGAAGGTATGCAGAACTTCAGTCTTTTTGCAGTATTTGTAAGTGTTCTCAATTGAGCTTGTTTATTAGCTTCCTAACACCTGAAATGTAGCATGAATGTTGGACAACTGCTTTGTTTAAATCCTTGTTGAGATACCATGTAATTTGTACCACTGGTTGGTAGTTTTCAACTTCTTACTTTTGCTTCCTGCATCGTACAGTACTAGATCTCTCTCTCACACATTCGCAAGAAAAATTATTAGAAGTGATCACTGCATTGTTTGTGGCTGAACCCTTATGACAATTGGTCCCAAAAGCATTTTAAAGGTTTCAGTTATTTTCTGCATGAAAACAGTGGCAAACATCACTTATTGCAGTGCAACTGAATAATTTCATCCAACACACTCAAGCATGCACTCACATAACACATAAACTCATCAAAATGGTGATTGGGTTTGATTTGTCCATGTTTGCGTTGCCTATGACATTATGTAAGGTATGCTATTACTGTCTCTGAAAGTGGTGGTGCTAACTGTTTGTCACTGTGCAAAGACTGCTTGAACAGCTGCATATTTTCTGTGACTCCATGTTCCAAGTTTTTCCAATACTTCTACCAGAAAGTGGTGATGCTGAGTGTTTGTCATTTTGCATAAAACTACATAATAACTAAATCTTTTATTTTAGTCCATCTTCTAAGCTTCAATTTCTTTGTCCTATTTGGTAAGATTACTTGAGTAACTCTGCGTTCTCTCAGTTCTTCTGATGCAACTGACATCACCAGGTAATGTTGGGTGTTGATCGTCTTGATATGATTAAGGGAATACCCCAAAAGATTCTGGCTTTTGAAAAATTTCTTGAAGAAAATCCAAAGTGGCGCGATAAAGTAGTTTTGCTGCAAATTGCTGTGCCAACAAGGACAGACGTTCCTGAGTGTATGCTCATTATTTCTTTAACATGATACACACACATTATGTACTTCATGTCATGAGTTATCAGGCTATTTTGAATTTAGTCAGTATTAAACGTTAGTATTTGAATTGATATTTCAAAGAAGAAATATCTCCACGGGTTGGAAGCTCAAATCCACATACTTCATACTTGTTGTACTTGAAAAAATATCTCATCGTTTTAGTTTCCCAAATACATTGCTTTTATGCGTTCTTGAGAAAGTGGAATGGAACATTGAAAGACCTTGTCTTATGCTGCTTAACAGATCAAAAGCTAACAAGTCAAGTTCATGAGATTGTTGGGCGTATTAATGGGAGGTTTGGTACTCTTACTGCAGTTCCAATACATCATCTGGTTGGTCTTCTCAATTGATTTCTATTTTCATGCGTACATCTTTATAATGACTATGTATTAATTCCATGGCTGTAAGTTGAAATGTTCAAGGTAGTTGCATCATACAAGTACTCATAATTTATGGTATCAGTGATGGTGACAGGGAAGATGGTCGTTTTCTTTTTTTATCAGAAATTCATGTTCATGGTGGAGAACCTTAACTAATGTCAGTTCATGTGATATGATGATAACATAAATCAGGTGCAACATAAGATATTTTTGCATCAAATATCATTTGCATCAACATAAGATCTTCATCACATCTATCCTTAAAACTTAATGATTAGAATTTAGGCTTCTTGCGAAGCAATTTGGTTACTAGTTCGTTGATGGATCAAACAAAGACTTAATCAAGTTTTTTTTCCTTATTTACAGGATCGTTCACTTGACTTCCCTGCATTATGTGCTTTATATGCTGTCACTGGTACTTATCTTTATGGTGTATTTTTCATGTTTCTCTATCTAATATGTTCCTATTTATCCAATCCTACGTGTAACATTGATAGGAACCACCCGGCACCAAGAAAGAAATTCTAAATTGCATAGAAAGAAAATATGGCCAGTTGGATAATCCTTGGTAATTGAGGAACCTGAAGCTCAATAAAAAAGTATCTCTTATCTATCTCAGCCTACTCTTCCCCTGTCTCCAAGCCATAATTACCAACCAATTCCATATGGTTAACCTCACTAGTAACTATTTCATTTTCCAACCTAGGTGCCTAATAAACATGTAACTGACCAGAGATTTCTCTGTTTTATCTAGCATTTTTGTGTCATGCAGTAAGTGATCCCTCAGAAATTGATGTTGTGGCAAGAATTATAAATGCAAATAAAGTTAGATGTTAGCACTGGTTTTATGTAAACTGTGTTAGGTTTTATCTATACATCTTTGATTTCACCTTGTCCTGTTGTTTTCTCTTATGCAGATGTGGCACTAGTTACATCTTTAAGAGATGGAATGAATCTTGTGAGCTATGAGTTTGTTGCCTGTCAAGCTTCCAAGAAAGGTGTTCTTATTCTGAGTGAGGTAATCCAAGTTTTAGTTTTATTTTTGCTACAAACTGAACTGGTAGTTCAGTGTTAGTTCTTGAATCTCTTACCCCTTTAGAATTTTAGGGGCTTTCTAAGCCTTTGTCAAACTTTTTTCTTACTGTTATGACTGAGGTTATCACTAGTGGGCAAATGCTTCCGTTTTTTAATTGAAAAGAATTCATCAACAATGATTTTAGAAGGAACTGTGAGCAATAAATTAAATTGTTCACTGTTGATTGAAAATAAAAACCATGGAAATAACACTTCTTTCTGAATATCAGTTAATCACATTACGACCAAGGATCATGTGTTCCACCAAATGTTTTGGCTTTAGGATATAAACTAGATCTGAGCAGCTTATGGTAACATTTCCCATGGTGTAATATGATCATATTTTTTCTAGTTTGCTGGTGCAGCACAGTCATTAGGTGCTGGTGCTGTTTTAGTTAATCCATGGAATATCACTGAAGTTGCTGCTTCAATTGGTTATGCTTTGAATATGGAAGCTGATGAAAGAGAAAGGCGACACCTTCATAACTTCATGCACGTTACAACTCACACATCCCAAGAATGGGCTGCAACATTTGTGAGGTACTGATACGCACGGGTGACTGTCCTTAATTTGCATTTAGCTTAATTCTTAATCTTGTTTCATGAATTTTCTTGGTTTGATTTTCAAAAGCTTTAATTAATTTCATGACTTCCATTGAGGGTTTTTGCACATGGAACTGGCCCGTCTATTTCTTACCCTCAAGATGCCACAGCCCATGAAAGCAAATACAGATTTTTCTACCTAATAAATGAATTTCCTACTAAAAGCCATGAGCTTTTTGCTAGTTGGACTTCTGTCCATCATAACATGTTTTAACTTCTATGCCCCAAGAAAATTGAACAAGTATTGTTTGAAATTCATACACGCTTCTTGCTTCTTCTACTCATTCTTGTCTCAGTAGGTCGAGTTGCACTAGCATTTCTACTTGCCAAATGAGGAATTTGCATAATGCAATCTGTCATTTCGCGTGTTCATTTGAAGAGATCATGTTACCGTGTTTCTATAACGATTCCTGTGTCCTGTTTGCAACGTATGCAACATGATCAGGATCTTCTGTATGGGGAAGTGTGAAACATAACACAAGCATGTAACATCATATGAAGATGAATCAGTTGACTATCTGTCCATTTCAAATACTAGCAGATTTGTCATATCTCAGCATTATGCCGGAACAACAGCCTTTATTTCTTCTGCAATTTATCCCTAGAAATAATTTTGTTAGGAGGAAACTGCCTGTTTGTCACGTTTTCTGGATATGGTTTATGACACTTTCTTGCAATGTTTGACTTTCAAGTTTTTTGTCTGTAGTTTTAGATAAATTATGAAGTTCTCTTGGCTGTAGCGAACTCAACGACACCGTAGTTGAAGCTCAAATCAGGACCAGACAGATACCACCTTTACTTCCAATTAATGAGGCAGCGAACAGTTATTCGCGATCACATAATCGATTGGTTATTCTGGTATATTCCCTGTAAGACCAAAACTATATTAGTGGCCGATATGCAATAACTGTTTGCTGCATAATTGCTTATTTCACAGGGTTTCAATGCTACCTTAACTGAAGCAGTTGATGCCCTCGGAAGAAGATGTGGCCAAATTAGAGACATGGATCTTAAAGTACATCCAGATGTGAGAGAGCCCTTGAAGAAGCTTTGTGATGACCGGAATACGACAGTGGTTGTCCTTAGTGGGAGTGACCGAAGTGTACTAGACGAGGTACACTTGTTCTTCTGCATTAATAATGCCTTTTCCCCCTTCTGTATCCTTGTTTTTGCCTTGACTATGTTTTATTGCAGAATTTTGGTCAGTACAACATGTGGCTGGCAGCAGAAAACGGTATGTTCTTACGTCCTACGAAGGGAGAATGGATGACGACTATGCCCGAGAATTTACATATGGACTGGGTTGAGAGTGTTAAGGTCTGAAGAATAATACTATATTATATATAGTTACTTTTCTTACTTCTGGTTTCTTATATCTGTTAATGAATGGTAGCATGTTTTCGAGTATTTTACCGAAAGAACTCCTAGATCCCATTTCGAGCTTCGTGAAACTTCGCTGGTGTGGAATTACAAATATGCAGGTATCTAGCATTTACCACGGACAATCTAATGAGTTTCTTCCTCTAAAATCATTTTAGTACTTGACTTGTACTGAACTAGATGTTGAGTTTGGAAGACTTCAAGCGAGGGACTTGTTGCAGCATCTATGGACTGGTCCAATCTCAAATGCATCAGTTGATGTTGTCCAAGGCAGTCGATCAGTCGAGGTTCGAGCAGTTGGTGTTACAAAGGTGTGTGACATTGATCTTGAAATATGAATCTCAAAAATGAATATCAGATGATATGGAATGATATGATATGATTATTTAACAGGGTTCGGCCATTGATCGAATATTGGGAGAAATAGTTCGTGACAAAGGCATCAACAAGCCTATTGACTATGTTCTCTGTGTTGGGCACTTCCTAGCCAAGGTCATTCAATTCAAATATCTGATGATTCATGACTCTAAGTAAACGATGAAAATGTCTATAAATCCTTGTGTATTGTGTGTATGTTTCAGGATGAAGATGTGTATACATTTTTCGAGCCCGACCTTCCTTCTGAAGTGCCACAAACAGTCCCGAATCCTTTACCACCGCCGAAGATGCCAAACAATGGAGCACCGCCGAAGTCGGCACGCCTGAAGAAACAACGTTCCCTTTCCATTATAGAAAGAAGAGCAAACAGCCATGGGAGTGCAGTGTTTTGGAGGCCTGTAGTGCAGGATCGATTGTCACTGCATGAGGGTTCATCTGTTCTTGATCTCAAGGGTGACAATTACTTCTCGTGTGCTGTGGGGCGGAAGCGATCGAACGCAAGATACCTTCTTGTTTCGTCGAATGATGTTGTCAAACTTGTGAAGGAGTTGTCGGAATGTTTGGAGTCAAGTGTGAGTTGAATGGTCATTCACAGTGTATTTTAGTGAATAGCAGCCAGTTAATAAGCCAGTTAATAAGTTGACATCTTTGTTTCCTTTCCTTTGGTTTTTTTACAGATTTCAGAACCTTCAACTACAAGTCTCTCTCTCTCACACTATATTCTATATATATATGTATATGTATATGTGTGTGTATATATGTGTATATGTATATTTATATAATATTTCGTGGGAAAAAAAATATGTAATAGGTGATGAACCTTATTGCAAAATTAACACTCAAAAGAACAACTCATCTACTTGTCACACTTGGAGAGTGAATTTTGCGTGAACGATCACAAAAGTCACTCTTATCCCGTTCCACGTACAGTATTCCTAATTCCACCCACAAGTGTTACGTATGTTTTTTCTCATCGTTGAACATAATGTGTAAGTTTCACAAGCAAACTTTCTTCTTTATATAGATAGTGCCAATCGGATAGAATAATACACTCGATCTTAACATGACAATAACGATAGAATTACTCTCTCTCAATATGGTACTTGAACTAGGATGTCACAAGTCTAGGACATACGTGACACATGCTTCTTGAGAAGTCAACCTCAACATCGAGGTCGATTATAGGGTCATCCTCAGCATCATAGTTTCGTGACCCACAAGTAATAAAAACGCTTCACAAAGCTAATGAAAATTATACAATATATATATATATATATAGAAACACTTAAAATACCATTTTCGTCCAAATATTATTATTTTTATTAAATATTATAATTTTTCTAAAAAAAATAAATCCATATTTACATTCTTTTTATAAATTTTTAAATTGTTTTTACACTCTTCTCCTAATTATTTATTTTCAATAAATAATATAAACTAATTTTAAAATTTATTCATATTACATTTTTAAATGGTTAAAATAGAATGATATTCAAGCTACGAGCATTAATAATAATAATAATTATTATAAATAAATAAAAAGATAAAATACACCATTTTTTAAAATGGACACTTTTGACCTTAAGATTTAAGTGTATTTCCAAAATTTTAATTTAATTTTTAATTGGCCATTAAAGTATGGAATTAATTTCTAAATAGTCTAATTTCAGAGTAATTTAAACTTTTTGAACTAAAAAGAAAAATCAATTTATGAAAATAATAATAATAATAAAATGACGTCATTTATCCTTTTATTAAAAAAATGAAAAGAAATTAAGTGTATTAAGTACGACTCGGAGCCGAGCTGAGTCGCTTCCGATTCCCTCTATAAATACGGAGTTCCTCCATTTGCGGCTTCTTCTGTTTATACTGTTCCATTTCTCTTCACATAAATCCCAAATTATGGCCGAAGAATTTCAGGAATCCGAAGTAATTTTCTCCGATCGCGACCGCTGCCGTTACCTCCACCGCGAAGACGGCGGCGGATTCGGCGGTGAGGATCACTTAAACTTCAACTGCCGCCGCGGAATGGCTGCGGCGCCGCGAAGTTGTAAGTATCATAACCGGACGGTGCGCGAGGGCGGATGGCAATCGAACAAGGAAATGGCGAGCTCACTTCCGGTAGGAATTCCGGATATAATCGGCCGGAGGATGGTGGAGGAAGACGATGAGATGGATGAAGAGGAAATGGTTCCGCCGCACGTGGTGGCGGAGAGGCGAGTGGCTAGAAAAATGGCGTTCTCTGTTTGTACTGGTAATGGAAGAACATTGAAGGGACGAGACTTGAGCCGAGTACGGAATTCAATACTTCGGATGACCGGATTCTTAGAAACGTGATCGGAATCGGAACTACGGCGATCGAATTTCCGATATCTTACTCGATACGCAAGTTTGGCTTTGTGTGGAAAAAGAAAATTGAAACCAGAAAATCAAATCGTGATGAACACGAAAAGGCTTCTCCGCTCTTTCCGTCCAATTTTTTGTTATAATTTTGAGGATTTATTTTTGGTGAAACAATCGATTTCATCAAATAATCAATTTTGAATTTGAATTTTCAAATTAGAAAAACAGCAAAGAAAAAAAAAAAAAAGTTCCGTCAAATTTTGTGGGAAAATCTTGGTTTCATAAAATGAAGTATTAGTTCTATCCATTTCTTTTATTGTTCTCTAAGTTTGTGGAAAAAGTATTTAATTATTTAATTATTTTTGTTTTTTTTTAATTAAAAAATCTATATTAAATAAGTCAATTTGAATATAGCTGATAAAACATTCTACCACCACATTATTAAATTGAATATATAAATATTAATATTAAAGTTCTAACTAAAACTTTTTTTCTTTTTTGTGGTTGACAAATTTGCGTTTATAATTTAGTGATTAAGGCTTTTTTTATTTTTTATTTTTGACTTTTTTATTTTTTATTTTATTTTTACTTTACTTTGAATCCTATTCATTGCTTTGATTCCGTATTTATTAATTTTTTGTCTAATAAATTTTTTAGCTTTAAAAATATCAAATATATTTTAAAATTTTCAGTGTGTATTAAATTTCTAAATAATAAAATTGAATTTAGTGTTAAGTATAATTTTTTATTTTTAGCTTAAAATATCTTTGAAACTTTTAATTTTGTTTAATAGTTTCAAAATATTTTAGTTCTTAATAGAGTGAATAAATATAATTTTTTTAAAAATAAATTTAAAAAAATAGAAAATAGAAAATTACAACTTTTTTTTATTACTCTCCTAATAGAAGAAAACATAATAAATTAAATTTTTAAATTTATATTTATATTTACTATAACCAATATTTAAAAGTTAAAAAAATTATATAAGTTTACGAGCTTGCAATTATGTTTAACAAAACAGGTCGATCGCAATCTATTCAGAAACATAATATCACTCCAAGTCGAACAGCATATCTGAGAATGTTTGCTTAATCCATGAAAGTTATCTTATTTATAATCAAATAAATTACAAGGATATGGAAATAGTAATAAATGGAAATAACAATAAATGGAAAGATACCTATAGGAATAAGGCAAATGTTAGATATTTGCCTTATAATAAAATATCAAATATAATATATATGGTAAACTATAATTTATTATTAAATATCCTTTACACCCCACCGCAAGCTAAGCGTCGGATTTAAACGAACGTGAAGCTTGAATCTGAAAAATTCAAAGAGGTCGAGAAACACTTTTCGTGAAGATGTTAACAACCTGGTTCAGAGGAGGCGTAGAGAAACACTTTCTTGGCTATCGAAAACTGCAGAGAGATCGCCGCTCAGCGGCGATGCTGCCTTGGCTTCGGTGAGAATATGTCTAACCCATGAAGAGGGATTGTCGCTTAGCGACGATGCTGACTTGGCTCTGGTGAGAATATGTCTAACCCATGAAGAGGGATTGTCGCTTAGCGACGATGCTGACTTGGCTCTGGTGAGAATATGTCTAACCCCAAGAAGTAGAAGGGGAAACCTAGAGCAAGAGACAAAGACAATGTTGAAGCCGGAAGAGTCGCCACATTGGGCGAATGAGCCAATTTTGGCGAGAAGGGCAGCTGGAAGAGTCGCCACATTGGGGCGAAGGAGCCAATTTTGGCGAGAAGGGCGGCGGCAACTTGGTTGGCGAAGATGCCAGTGCGGCGCCCAGATTCCAAAGGTAAATCTCTGCAGAAGGTCGATGGGCTTATTGAGATTCTGTATATTTTCGAAGAGGGATGCTGATGAAGATCCTAAGATTAGGGTTTTTGCGAAGGATGAATGATGAAGGGAAAAATTGGGAAGAAAATGAAAGAGGCTATGTTTGGAAAAGGTGAGGTTGTATGTACAGAGTATGGCGAAGGATGATTTGGAGGTCAAAAAGGTGGAGCCGAAGAATAATCAATCGACTCTGCATGTGACAGCCATGACGACTGCCCCTGCGGCATCAAAGACAACAGTGGTGGTGGAGAAGAACAGTAGAAGATTTCAAAAGCCATTGAAAAGAAAGGATCTAGGTTGCTAAACCAAAATGGCTCTGATACCATGTGAATGTTTGCTTAATCCACCACACCTAAATGGTGTGAAAGTTATCTTATTTATAATCAAATAAATTACAAGGATATGGAAATAGTAATAAATGGAAATAACAATAAATGGAAAGATACCTATAGTAATAAGGCAAATGTTAGATATTTGCCTTATAATAAAATATCAAATATAATATATATGGTAAACTATAATTTATTACTAAATATCCTTAACACCCCACCGCAAGCTAAGCGTCGGATTTAAACGAACGTGAAGCTTGAATCTGAAAAATTCAAAGAGGTCGAGAAACACTTTTCGTGAAGATGTTAACAACCTGGTTCAGAGGAGGCGTAGAGAAACACTTTCTTGGCTATCGAAAACTGCAGAGAGATCGCCGCTCAGCGGCGATGCTGCCTTGGCTTCGGTGAGAATATGTCTAACCCATGAAGAGGGATTGTCGCTTAGCGACGATGCTGACTTGGCTCTGGTGAGAATATGTCTAACCCCAAGAAGTAGAAGGGGAAACCTAGAGCAAGAGACAAAGACAATGTTGAAGCCGGAAGAGTCGCCACATTGGGCGAATGAGCCAATTTTGGCGAGAAGGGCAGCTGGAAGAGTCGCCACATTGGGGCGAAGGAGCCAATTTTGGCGAGAAGGGCGGCGGCAACTTGGTTGGCGAAGATGCCAGTGCGGCGCCCAGATTCCAAAGGTAAATCTTTGGAGAAGGTCAATAGGTTTAGGTTAAGGTTTTTGTGAAGGATGAAGGGAAGATTGGAAAGAACATGAAAGAGACTATGTTGGTTGAGGGAAAATTGATTGTGTTGGAGGAGGTGAGGTTGTATGTACAGAGTATGGCGAAGGGTGATTTGGAGGTCAAAAGGGTGGAGCCAAAGAGTAATCAATCGACTCCGCTTGCGGCAGCCATGGCGACTGCACGTGCAGCGTCAAAGCCAGCAGCGGTGGTGGAGAAAAACAGTGGAAGATTCAAAAGCCATTGAAAAGAAAGGATTGGGGTTGTTAAACCGCAAAGGCTCTGATACCATGAGAATGTTTGCTTAATATCTATTCAGAAACAGGTCGATCGCAATCTATTCAGAAACATAATATCACTCCAAGTCGAACAGCATATCTCACTTAATATCATTCACTCACTCATTGTTTTTGTTAAAATAAACGAAATTTTAAGCAAGGAACATTAAGTTTAATATAACACAGGCACGTTTATGGATATAAAAAACCCGCTTACAATCTAACCTAATCCGAGTATAGCTCGGCTATCTAAAGTATATATCTACGACTAAGAAGCCCTATTCAATCCGTCCTATTCCCACATGATTCTAACCCACTCGACCAGTACGACCTCAAAACGATCGTTCCATTGATTTTTGTAATATAACATATGTGAATGTAACAAGGTTTCAAACTATTTGTTTGTGTTATTAGCAGCATTATCAAACAAACATACAGAACAATTCTACACTTTCCTTATGTACACGTGATTAATGGAACATCTAAATCCAGAAAAGAAAGGATGTGAAGCATATATTCCTATGACTCATATTTGAAGAATGTGATTGATTAGGAAGCATTTAGACTCACAGATGAGGCTTGAAGCCGGGAAGAGCAGCACGTTTGAACGTAGCTGAAACGCCTCGAGCTGTCGAAGATGAACCAAATTATGAACTTGTTGCCTCTAAAAATCAGATCAAACATATCAGTCTTGGAATGAGTAGCAAGAACAAATGATAATGTTTATACTCACAGTTCAAATAATAATAGAGTGGATATCTACAACAAAACTCCCATGTCTTCTCGGGCAATCGAAATGATCTGCTTAAATACCGATCAACGTCGTCCTTTTTGGAATTTCGGGGGAGCTTTGTTCTTATTTGGTACAAATGCAAATTGACTCAAGTCCATTGCAGTAGCAGACCTTCAGTGGAATTGGGAAACAAGTTCAAGATTGTGAATCTGGTGACGGATAAAAAGTTCATGATAGGATAGATGTTTTACCTATTGATATTGCTGTTCGGAACATCTCTCAAAGGAGCTCGGAGACCACTAGCTCGAGACCCCGAAGAGAATCGAAATGACGATATTACCGAAACAAATCTTTCCATTGATTTTTCTGCTATGTCAGAGTAATGACTCAAGTGAGAAATGTTGGATCCAAACTTCCCTTCAGATTCTGTCTCCAATACAGTTTCATCTAGTTCATGAGCAAAGTCACTTAAACTTCAGCAAAACAACAAAACAACAAAGAACAAAGAACTAAAATGTGATATCCCCCGCGTTGGTTGGGGAGGAGAACAAAACACCCTTTATAAGGGTGTGAAAACCTTTCCCTAACAGACGCGTTTTAAAGCTTTGAGGGAAAGCCCGAAAGAGAAAGCCCAAAGAGGATAATATCTACTAGCGGTAGGCTTGGGCCGTTACATAAAAGTAGTGCAAGAAGCTTTTATTAGAAACTTACCATGATCAAGCTGCAATGTATCCTTACACAAATGCTTAGTTTTCACATTGTCCTGAATAAAATGATATCAAAATTAGAAAGTAGGCCAATTTTTAATAGAAGAGTTGCATAAAAGTACATACCATTTGAATGTTTTCATTTGGGGAGGCTTTTCTTTTCGAGATTGAACTGTCACAAGAATTACTAGTAAAAGAAGCAACCACGGGAGTGGCTATCTGTTCTTCATTGCATTCAGGCTTATGCTTAAAGTAAGAACTCCTTACAATGACCCTTTTGTTCTCTTGTCTCACTTTTTCTCCCGTTGTTTCAGGAAGATTCTCACTATCAGGTCCCTTATGAAGCGTTATACAAGGCTTATGAATTGGTTGAGTGTGTTGCTGCAGTAAAATATGCTCTGTGTCTTCCATTCATGAACAGAAATTAGTGTATAATCAAGTCAAGAGTGTTCTTCAGAACTGAGAGATATACATACCCTTACCAGGAAACCCATCTGCATTGTCATTTCTTATCTGATAAATTCAAAAAAAATGAAGAACAAGAAGAAAAATATCAAGATAGTTTCAACAGACAAGCATGGTTCATATGATATTTGACAGAATCAAAGTCAGTTTCTTACAGGATATGTAGCAGCTGGCGGGAAACCATCTTCAGGACCCACCGGCTCCTCGGCACTAATTGAGTAGCCATCCCTGAAGCTTGAGTGATTAGCTGATTGTTTTGGGGCCCTAAATTTTCTCTTGGCATCAAGAGAGGCAAAACCTTTTGATGTTAAGAAGCACTTGACAATCTCACTTTCAGTCAATTAAGTTTCTTTAAGAACTTTTAAACTAAAACTTGATGGCATTCATTTGGTCAATGATACCGTTTGTGAATGCTGTCTAAAATTGAATGTGTAATGGCTCAAGCTCACCGCCAGCCGATATTGTCTTCTTTGGGCTTTCCCTTTCGGGCTTACCCTCAAAGTTTTTAAAACACGTCTGCTAGGGAGAGGTTTCTACACCCTTATAAAGGATGTTTTATTTTCCTCCCCAAACGATGCGCGATATCACAATCCACCTCCCTTCAGGGCCCAGCGTCCTCGTTGGCACTCATTCTTTTCTCCGATCGATGTGGGACCCACACCAAATCCACCCCCCTTCGAGGCCCAGCGTCCTTGCTAGCACACTGCCTCATGTCTACTCCCTTTGGGGAACAGCCTTCTCACTGGCACATCACCCGGTGTCAGGCTCTGATACCATTTGTAACGATCCAAGCCTACCGCTAGCAGATATTGTCCTCTCTGGGTTTTCCCTTTCAGGCTTACCCTCAAGATTTTTAAAACGCGTCTGCTAGGGAGAGGTTTCCACACCCTTATAAAGGGTATTTCGTTCTCCTCCTCAACCGATGTGGAATATCACACAATGGCTTCCTCAAAATTTTAAAATGCAAACATATGAACATAGTGTACATCAGCTAAATGCAGTGTTCAAAACAAAAAATCCCCAAAATTCATGAAAAAGGTATAATAAAATAGGAACAGATCATCCACCCAATTCTATCCTGCAAGGATCATCTCATATATGATTATTATTTGTTATCTCTGCCTATGGCATGATGAAGCATAATATTTGAAGCTAGAGTTAAGCAAATGCAACAAAGAATAAGAATAATGGATATCAAATCTCCAAGGATACAAAAGTATTTCGTCAGGACATTCTTCTGCACAGGTAAATCCAACTTTTTCTTCACACTCTCAGCGTTAAATTCTTTTAGTTTGTAAGGTTTTTCATGAACGACTCCGGGATTGATATTCTGCTCCTGTTCATGTAAAGAAAGCAAAGAAATAAGTATTACAACATAATAAACTTAAGTACTAAATCTTATTCGTCAGTGTCCCCCAACTCTGACAATCTCATGGGGATAAGAGGAAGATGGGACTTTCAAGTTACATAATATAGGATTCAGAAGATATAAGTGTAACTCTCACTTAAAGCACTAACATTATTTTCATTCCTATTTTATTACTGTTGTTCAATTATTTATATTATAGAGCACATTAAGTTCATTGGGCAAGTGAATTCATTTATGCAGATGATTACCATTTGCGATTTGCGTGGCATCCGCATGTCATATGACTAAAAATGTGAGATCTCACATAGGTTGGGGAGGAGAATGAAACATTCTTTATAAGGTGGAAATCTCTCCCTAGCAAACGCATTTTAAAAACCTTGAAGGAAAGCTCAAAAGAAAAAGTTCAAAGAGGACAATATCTATTAGCGATGAGCTTGAACCGTTACAAATGGTATCAGAGTCAGACACCGGGCGATGCACCAGTGAAGACGTTGGGCCCCGAGAGGGGGCGGATTGTGAGATCCCACATCGATTAGAGAGAGGAACAAGTGTCAGCGAGGACGCTAGTCCTCAAAGGGGGTGGATTGTGAGATCCCACATCAATTGAGAATGAGAACAAAACATTCTTTATAAGGGTGTAGAAACCTCTCCCTAGCAGACGCGTTTTAAAAACCTTGAGGGGAAGTCCGAAAGGGAAAGCCCAAAGAGGATAATATCTGTCAGCAATGGGTTTGGGCTATTGCAAATGGTATCAGAACCAGACACTGGGCGGTGTGTCAACGAGAACGCTGAGCCCCAAAGGGGGGTGGGTTGTCAGATCCCACATCAATTGCATAGAGGAATGAGTGCCAGCGAGGATGCTGGGCCCCGAAGGGGGGTGGATTGTGAGAACCCACATTGATTGGGGAGGAGAATGAAGCCTTCTTTATAAAGGTATGGAAACCTCTCCCTAATAGACGCGTTTTAAAAACTTTGAAGGGGAGTCCAAAAGGGAAAGCCCAAAGAGGAAATGCCAAAAATTGGGCACCCTATTGCTGATTAACTATCTAATTTCATCAAATCCATTGCCCTTATTAGTTGAACAATATTAAAATTACAGACTTGTTTAGGAATTATTGCATGCAATGTTCAAGTGTTAAGAAAAATAGATGATGTACCTGGAATGGTAAGTTCGTACACGGATCGATATCACCCTCGGCTATACCTTTCGCTATATGTTGCGGTATCGACGTATTATATGTTAAGTTACTGATCCTGGTCATTTAAAGAAGAATATAGTACTAAAAATATACAACAAACAGTAATGAACTCCAAAGAAAAGGATATGGGCCCAAGAAGTCCAAGTCATCTCCTATATTGTGGGATATTGGAGAGAGATGTACAATATCTTCAGTGATAGGGTCGTAAACCCTTTGATGCTGAAAAGTCATTATGGCTTTCTTGAATGATTCTTCATAAAGAGGAGGAACTGATACTGTGCTGTACTTCAGGTGTCTAATCACCTAAACAAAGTCACAAAGTCACTATTTTCTACACAAAACATATCTTATTCTAAAGAAGATAAAAACATTCATTTGAAACACAAACTCACCTTGTCATAACTCATAAATTTCTTGATAAGTGCATGAGCCCTTTTGAGTCCCATTCCTGGCAATGACTGCAAATAATCACAACCACTCAAAATGCACATCTCAAGAATCATCTGTTTTGTAAATCCAGCAAAGTTCAAGTCCTTGTTCTTTGATAACATGTCGTATTGAAACTCAACTCCTTGTCCGAATTTGTCCATTTTAAAGATAATCTGATTGTACAGGAGCAGAGCAACAAAAAGAAAATCATTAAGAATTCTCCGTGACGTATGAAGTTGAAGCCAGATTACACTAACAAAATGTTATGAACCACGACCCTCCACAATGGTATGATATTGTCCACTTTGAGCATAAGCTCTCATGGCTTTGCTTTTGGTTTCCCAAAAGGCCTCGTACCAATGGAGATGTATTCCTTACTTATAAACTCATGATGATTCCCTAAATTAGCCAATGTGGGACTTATTCCTACCAATCCTCAACAATCCTCCCCTCGAACAAAGTACACTATAGAGCCTCCCCTGAGGCCTATAATGCCCTCGAACAATCTCCCCTTAATCGAGGCTTGACTCCTTCTCTGGAGTCCTCGAACAAAGTACACCTTTTGTTCAGCATTTGAGTCACTTTTTACTACACCTTCGAAGCTCACAACTTCTTGTTCGACATTTGAGGATTTTATTGACATGGCTAAGTTAAGTGCATGGCTCTGATACCATGTTATGAACCACAACTCTCCACAATGGTATGATATTGTCCACTTTGAGCATAAGCTCTTATGACTTTGCTTTGGGCTTCCTCAAAAAGCCTCATACCAATGAAAATATATTCCTTACTTATAAACCCATGATCATTCCCTAAGTTAGCTAACGTGGGACTCCCTCCCAACAATCCTAAACACAAAATGGATTGGAAAATGAAAAGAATTCAAGAATGACTTTCTGTATAGCTTACCCTTGGACAGCCAAAGGGTATTAGATCAGAGTCCTCAGTAAGAACAGCATCAACCTGATTGCTGATGGCCAAGAAGGTCATCTGAGCATCTGCCTCATAAGGTGCCACAACATACGATATATTCTCTCGCTTCAACACCTTTAGAATGAATTCATGGTCAAATCCAACGTAACAATCTTGAGCACTCAAAAAATTTAACAGGTTAACGTAACAGTAATGAAAAATCTATTACTTGAATCAGTTCATAGGCTATCATAGGTGTTATATCAACGGCCTTCTGGTAACACTCATAGGCAGCAGCAGAATTTCCATTCGTCTCATGTTCCATTGCTCGGGCAAGATTTTCTTTTCTCGTCCTGTGGTGAAAAGTGAGTTTCTTCAGATGAAGAATGCCTTTAAAAGCATGGAAACCATGAATTATAAACATAGTGGGGAAACTAAACATAAGAAGAATTGTAACCATTTAATATCCTCTTCATATATTGATGTTTAATTGTTTAAAGAAGCTCAACTTCGGAGATATCAATATAGGGAAACACCCAACAAAATTGATATCCAAAGAATACATATAAGAACTTAAATGAAAGTAAAACAGCAGGTGAGTTGATGCTTGTCATACCTTGCACGCTTGATTTCTTGTTCTTTCTTCATTGGAAGAAGGCCTCCATCAAAGACAAGAATGGGTTTTACTCCATAGTGCCGTAGTAGATTTATTCTATGCATACAGTAATCAATGTGCCTATAAAACCAAATGGCATATAGTTATGAGTTTCGACAATGCTGCTAAGAAAACTACTTTCTTCGTCTCTTTCTTTTCTATTGTTTTTCAATTTACGTATTTCACCCAAAAACAAAAGCCTATTTTCATATCCCCTGCCATTGGATCAAAGAAATTGCAGAAATCGAAAAACAAAATTGCACCCAGCAAGCTCTTGGATGCTCTGAGTCAAGTATCACGTTTTGAAGCCAAGCCATGGCTGAAGACTGTGTTTTCTGCCATATTGTTCATTTGATTCTTGGAAATCGAGTTTGAATCATTCAAACATTACCTTTCAATATTCAACTCAGAGCATCAACGAGTGTCATTTGATGACTAAATTCAAAGTAAACAGCAGATTACAAACCTATTAATATCAAACTATCATGGGCCGAAGGGAAATTTCACGAACTGGGTATTCGAGATATTGGGTATAGATGCAAGTAAAGTAACTAATACATGAACAGAAGTCGAAAGCAATATGCGATTATTGAATCCAGAAGAGAGTATAGAGAATGGAGATACTTGGAGGTGGGAAGGGAATTGCAGAGCTCTTTGCTGCAGGAGAAAGCGCCTTTGTGGAGCCAAGAATAGGTATCGATCGCGACAGAAGAACCCTCCAAATCCTTGATGTGGATCGGCGCCATTATCGACTTGAGTAGCGGCAACAGCCCCTGAATCCCCATTGCTCTTTTGGGTGCTTAGCTCTGATGGTGGAGATGAGATTGATGAGGTTATCTCGAGGAGGGAGAGAGGCAAATGGCGGGAAATTTTCATACCTCTAAACCGCTCACTCGTTTTTTCCACACTGTGTTTTCGTCCGTCCCAAAATTTGGGGGAAAAAATAAAAAGCCTAAATAATTATAAATAAATAAATTGTAATAACTAAATTACAGTTTTGTAGATAATGTCTAAATTATCTCAAAAAAAATTACAAATACATGAATACATGAATACAAGTTGAAAAAAATGAACCTAACGAAATCCAAACGGCTAATCCAACCCTGAACTCACCTACCCAATGCAACTCAAATTGCTAATTCAACCCTACTCCCCTCCTATAATTCGGGTTGGGTCGATCCAAAAGTTATCTCCAACCCTAAACTCATCTACTCAATGCAACCCAAACGGCTAATTCAACCCTAAACTCACCTCCTATAATTTGGGTTGGGTCGATTCAGGTTGTCTCCAACCCTAAACTCACCTACCCAATGTAACTCAAACAGCTAATCCAACCCTAAACTCACCTCCTATAATTTGGGTTGGGTCGATCCAATTTGCCTTCAATCCTAAACTCACCTACCCAATGCAACCCAAATTGTTAATCCAACCCTAAACTCACTTCCTATAATTCGGGTTGGGTCAATCCGGGTTGTCTTCAACCCTAAACTCACCTACTCAATGCAACCCAAAATGCTAATCCAACCCTAAACACACCTATCCAATGCAACTCAAGCGGCTAATTCAACCCTAAACTCACCTCCTATAATTTGGGTTGGGTCATCCAAGTTTTCGTATTGAATGTACACCTAATAAATATCATTATCATTGGAAATGTCATTATCATTGGAAATTGGATAAAAAGCGTCTAAATTTTGTTTTAATCATCTGAACTTTCCAAAATTGATATTTTAAAAGTAAGTTTTGAATTAGGTTTCATTTCTACCGACTATCACAATCATATTTTAGAACCATGCTTTGTCTTGACTTAAATATCATATTATCAAATCTTTAAGCTTTCAAATATTTCAAACAAAAAAAACTCTCTCAACATTTTTGTTCTTTCTCCATTTTGAAAAGAATGAAAATATTTTATAATTAAATGACCGAGTTCAAAGATATTAACAAATAACAAATAAATGACAATCCTTCACAAAGATTCAATCTTGACCACAACAAGATCATATTACTGACTCAACATCAGATAGAAGAGATTGTAGTTTAAAGATCGACTTCAATGTTATGTTATTTCGTATAATTTATCACCCAGATCAAATTTTAATATTCGGATCAAGCTAAAACATCATTTGATTGTAGAGGAGCATCATCCTGTTCCATATCTCAAGCTAGAACTGTCAAGTACAGAACAAGAATCCGAGATTCAGGTGCTTGTAATGTGCAGCAATGGCGATTTCCACACAAAATTCCAAATCAAATCGCACAAAACATTGTTCAACACTAGGTGATGTGTGGTGTGTGGTGTGTTTGCTTGAGGGGGAGGGGTTGAAACTAAAGAAAGAAGAAGCCACAACTCAAACTAAGATTAACATGCTGATGCAGAGCATGCTTTGCACATTTAGGACGGACGAGTATCCTCCTGCCATACCGATCATACGGTATACCGGCTCTTCGCATGTCTGTCGAGTTTCTTCGCATCGTCCTGAACAAGAAACAACATGATATCAGAAACACGAAACAAAAGATTCGAGTTCTAACCACAAGAAATGCAAATGAAACCTATGTGGCAGCATACATACATGGAATATAAAGCCAATGCTGTCATTGTAATCAAGGAACTCCTTCCACTGCTTTCCAATGCTTGCCTAACCAGAAAAAAGAGAACGGGATGCAGAGACATTAACTGATGAACGAACAGAATCCGAACAGTAAACAATTTCCATCATTGAACATGAGTAAAATTATTGTTCATAAATGAAGTTCATTGCGTGTGCAAGAACAGAGTATTGTATTGATGAAAATCTAGTGGGCCGTATATATAAACTATTGGTCTAGTGGCTATTACCTGCGCAGCTTCATTAGAAGCATTCTTTGTCCAAATCGATATTTTATCCTGCCCAGATCTGACATTAACAACTGCTCCACAAATTTCGTCGCCGCAATCAAACTGTTCTCCGATCATAGCAAGCAGCTGGATGGAAGTAACTGATTGTTAGAGATAAAAGACTAGTGTCTCAAATATTTTGCTCGTGTCAAATTGTATGTGCAGTTCATAGTACCGTGTACAGCCAGCCATTATCGGATTTGCCCCTTGAAAAGTTAACAGTCCATTTCCCTCCATTCGCACAAACAGGATCCTCCCATTTTGGCTCAATGTGATGTTTAAAGCAGTACAAATCTGCCCTCAATGCCAATTTACTTGGATGATGAATATTGTTGTAAACACTAAAAAAATGAGGGCAACAAACATGAACAATAGGTCAACCAATCTGAGGGAAAGTGAAAACAAAAAGACAAAAGAGACACAAGTTAACAACCTATTAAATACAAAAGATGTAGTACTTGCAAGTAGAAACTTTTGTCAATGTCTTAGTGAAGTAACCATTTATAATTATAAGTAACGAACGGACCCGGAAACTAAACATTACATTCACAAACAAAAGAAGGATTGTCAACAATATAAAAGCAAACGGAATAAGCATCTAGACAGAAACGTTTCAGAAGCAAACCACGTACTCAAATGCTTCATCAACTTTCTATTATGTTAAAAAGATTCTCCTTTTTTTTGGAAATCAGTAAGTTTACGGGTCAGCTTATATGCTCTTCGACTATTCTCAAGAGACAATAGTAGGACATCGAATCCAAGTGAGTGATCACTCATAACATGGGTCCTAATTTAACCCACAGTACTTTATTCAAAAAGTATAATTTACGAAGACAAAATCTCTGGTAATCAGAGAACACCACAAAACAGAACGAACAAGAAGGAAGGAGGCAAAGATGGTAAGCTAAAAAAGTAACCATAGCTGCAAAACAAGAAAGGAAAACAACATGAAAATCGTTACATCAAATGAACATCCAAACTCATCGAAATTTAAGTTGCTGAAATAAATGGCCGAAGGGTAATAAAGTCCAGATGAATTGGCAGAAGCGGCTGTTTATATAAATTCAAAGCAATTTTCTAACACCATAGTTGGTAAAATTGTAAGTATATCTTACTCCTGTCTGATTCTTAGGTCTACACACCAGGATATAGTCAAAGTATTTCAGACTAAATCTGAGAAAATTCACAAAGACTATGTATAGGAAC